ATCGCGATAAGTTGGTCAATAGTGATGGGTACATTCCTAGTTATAGCCATCGGGGGGTGTAATAATATGGAAGATTAAGAGTAAGAGAAGATTGGCGAACGACAGTCTAGTGAGCATGCAGCAACTCGAGAGGGAGATGCCGAGCAGTTTTCCTTTTACTCAGACAGGACTGGCGAAGAAATTGCTGAAAGACCAATGGAGGAGGCTGGCGTGAGACCACCACGTGCAGCGGAAAAACCTCCCACGGCAGAGAGAAAAACATTGACCAAGAAGAACAAACCCTAGTGAACACATCTGCACCTACAAACACACGCACACATTACCTTGCATGTAGAACAAAAGAAAATGAAAAGAACATTTCATTGCATGTAGAACAGAAGAAAATGAAAAGAACATTACATTGCCTGTAGAACAAAAGAAAATGAAAAGAACATTTCATTTCATGTAGAACAGAAGAAAATGAAAAGAACATTACATTGCATGTAGAACAAAAGAAAATGAAAAGAACATTTCATTGCATGTAGAACAGAAGAAAATGAAAAGAACATTTCATTGCATGTAGAACAGAAGAAAATGAAAAGAACATTACATTGCCTGTAGAACAAAAGAAAATGAAAAGAACATTTCATTGCATGTAGAACAAAAGAAAATGAAAAGAACATTACCCTTGCATGTTAGAAAGTAGAATAGAATTGCATGAGACAAATGCATGGTGCATGTTAAATGATGTAATTGGGTTTAGGTGTCATTTACGGGTAAATGACAAATCGGTTAGGGGAGGATTGTGGCACCTTGCATTATTAGAAATATTCATAGAAATATGATTTAATTTTTCTTACTCGGTTTACTAAACAGGTTGTTGATTTTTTTAAAACGGAAAATAATTGAGTTGAAAATAATTCACTAAGATTGTACTTAGACGATCCTAAGGAAAGAAAAAAAAAAAGCAAAAGAGAGGTCGAGAAATACAAAAAGCGGTCATTAACAAAACACGTATCAGAAAGGTAATTAGGCCAACATCTTGGCCGATTTTCGAAAAAAGAAACAATGGATTTTACATTTAGAAGGAAAGTCATTTAGAGAGTGGAAGGGACAATGCTTGATAAGAGTGTATTGATAATAAAAAAAATCGGTCAAAAGCACCTAGCCCACTTTTTGCGTGGAAAGACTCATTGTCAAATTGGAGAAAGGGAAATTTTTTTAGAACAATAGAAACGAAATTTATCTTAATCAGAGAAAAGGTGTTTTTTGGGTTGAGGGGAGTGACCGGTGGAACTATATACAGATCCTGACCTGTTAAGAATTAGAAACCTACGATAATAAAAGTGGAAACATTTTCAATGTAGATAATTAAGATTTTCTGACTGTCGGGTCTGACAAAGACGGGAGGTGAAGGGACGATTGTCTCAGTTCACAGATGGCGCCAATATTCTTCCCTGAAGTCACATCTAATTAGCGGCGGGCTGTTTGACAGAGCCCAGGTGAGAGAAAAGCAAAGATTGTCATTTTTCGTACGTGCAGAAAAAGGCAAAATTGGATTTTGTTTTTAAAAACAAGAACGATGTAACCACGCCCGAAAGGAGGAGAAAGGATGCTCGATCAATAACAATTGGTCGGAAACGGTCACGTGATCTGCAGAAAAGAAGAGAAAGAAAATGCCCGATCAGGAACCATTTGTCGAAAACGGTCACCTGACATACGAGAGACTAAGAGAGATGGTGTGCACCTCCCCAAAAAGGGCACTGTGAGGAAGTAGGGGTGAAAACAATAGCGATAATGGGAAATCAAAATAATGCGACTTTTGGAGTTATTGAGAAAACCCTGACGCCGACAGACCCACCCCAGTTTGTTGCGGCGTCAATAAAAGCAGGACCCCAGTCGACAGAAATCAGTTGGAGTGGAGTTGCAGCTGGACCGCGGGCAGGAAAGAGCCTGAACGCGGGCATCGGGCCCGATTCACTCGCCCCTTTGCGGGCAAAAGAATCCTCAGACAAGAAATCCTTCCAGCCCAAGTCGAAGACAGAAGAGTTCAGCCCCGGACGGCAGCGAGAAGAGATCACCTCGGACGACAGAGAGTTTGCGGCTGAGTTGCGGCAAGAGATCCTTCCAGCCCAAGTCGAAGACAAGAGAACTTCCAGCCTAAGTCGACGAAGAAGAAGAAATACAACTCAAGTCGAAGAGAAGAATCAACTGCGAATGATCGATAGAAATTGGCCCCAGTGTCGAACCAAACCACACCCGACATACACAATTCTAAAGAGTAGGCAATTCGAAATCTTTAGGTTGTGTGATAGAAGCTTGTGCCATAGCCCACAGAGCGGGTCGGGAAATGAGAACAATTTTGTTTTTATGTAACGGACATTAAGATATAAAAGGTTGTTACCCTTTTTTTTCATCAGCAATCTTTTTTGTCTCGTGAGTTTATTTTCTCTTTTATTTGTGTTTTGCCACCCCGTCGGACTCAACTTGTATCGGCCCCAATCCCTGCTGGTCCCGTCTGTCTAAGATCTAAACACAGCGGGGTAGACAGACCGGAGATCGGTACAGTTGCTTTAGTGACCAGGTATTGGAAGCTAGTCAGGAAAGGCGAGGCTGGTGATCATCTGACCAAGGGGTTGGAGCGGCACGCTTGGACCCAGGAGGAGCGACCAGGAGGAGCGACGTCACCGTTGGCGCCGTAACCAAAGGATCCGACCCTGGGCCAGGTGTGTAACCGTCACATAAGTAACAAATATCAATGGGCAAAATAAAAAGTACTTAAGATGCACGGAAGGTACTTTTAAACGTAGATTCTACAATCATAGGTCGTCTTTTAAGCTAGAAAATCTTAGATACTCTACCAAGCTAGCTAACAATGTATGGAATTTTAAAAAAACCAAAAAACAACAGGTATCCGTGGAATCAGGTGGAAATTGTTTTTAAAGATCAAAACCATACAACCACCACAACCATATTTGCAAACTCTGCTATATATATATATATATATATATATATATATATATGTATATATATATATATATATATATTTGTTTGTATGTGCGTGTGTGTGTGTATGTATGTGTGTATGTATGTATGTATTTGTGTGTGTGTGATTCATGGATTTATTTTTTACGTCTGATCAAGCTTTTACAGGTTATCTAAATCCAAGAATATTTTTTAAATTATATGAATTTGGGGGACTTCATAATGAATTTTGCTGGTACATGTTGTACTAGCTAACCCCCTAGTTGATTGTGGGGAGAAGAGGTGAACCCATATCTTTCCCAGAAGTGAATATAACGAACCTGGCTGGAATTAGCAATCGGCTCTCCGATTTCCAATTCCGATCTGCACATCCAAACCTGCACCACGTCATATTCGCATGTGATCACCCATCTAAGTACGGACCAGGCTCGACGTTGCTAAACTCCGGCGGTCGTACGAGAACCGTTGTTACAACGTGATATGGCCATAAGCCTCTGTGTGTGTGATTGTGGTGTAATGCTAATATTAGCTGTTTCCTTAGAACTCAGCATCCATTCACAAGCATTCATTGACCGAGCAACCAGTTTTATAAAGCATTCCTATTAAAACAAAGCGTAGAGGAAAATAAGATTTCCCAAAGCTGGTGTTATCGCTCTTTCCAGTATTGATGGGAGCTTCCTTCCTAGTCTTTTGCTCCAAGCAGTGTGGAACGTCAACATCTTGATTATGACATTATTTAATTTTCGAGTTACATGTGTTATCCATTGTTTACTTTTTGCTACTGTCGGCAGTCCTCAAATGATGTCGTTTCTGTTATTTGTCACAGTGCTTAAGTTTAACAGTTTGTGTGTGGTATCCTTCTGAAATTGTCAATCTAAGGATGTAAAAGAACTCGAGGTTTTAGGTAAACGTATTGGCTTTATAATATATATATATATATATATATATATATATATATATATATAGAGAGAGAGAGAGAGAGAGAGAGAGAGATCATGCCACTGACTGTGTGGTTACAATTATGTGTTTGACTATTGTGTTAACCCGGATGCTAAAGTCGAGAGTCACGTGTCTCAAAACGAATTAGTACTTTTTCTTACCAGCTCTACGCAGTCATGTATTAACTGTTAATAAGCTTTCCAGTGACGCTTTACTTCTTTGTTGTTAATGTATTTTAATTGCGTTTGGTAATTTAATACTTTATTTTTTACATTGATGTCTTACTGTGACATATATATATATATATATATATATATATATAGAGAGAGAGAGAGAGAGAGAGATAGATATGTAACTCAAAATTTTCCAAATGTTAGATTAATCTTTGAACTGTTGTATATTAGAAATGATTCAAGATATCTTACTGGAATTTTCCGTGGGTTTTATAACACTATTGAATTCTACTTTGAACATTAAGAATGTATTTAGCTCTAAGCTGAAATGATGATCCCTCTCGTTGTTGTGACCTCTTGATCCCGATTTCCTCACTAATGTTCCCACTTTTTAAAATTTATTCACCGTTCTCTTGATGGGTCTTTGAAGATGGAAGCCACTGTAAGAATGTTGGTACCATTGCTGAAAGCCTGAATGATTTTTCCTCTCACCATTGCTCAATTGATAAGACATAATAGGGTTGACACAAAACGATTTTAACCTGTTCTCTTTCTAGCTGAATAACTCAAAGGATTTTTCAGTGATTCCTACACAAATGGTGTCAAGATGGCTAAATGTCTTATCTGAAAACCTTGGAAAAAGAAAACTCAATTAGTTTAGTGTTTTTTGAATATTAAACATTTTGTAGGATGGACAATTATTGCATGCTGTAACACAATTTGGACAATTTTGCTGTTACACCCTGTATATATATATATATATATATATATATATAGATAATATTAGTGGAAAATATACATACATATGAAAAATATATCTAAAAAATTCCCATACATGTATATTTTCAGAAAAAATTTTTTCCAAGAGGAACATAGAAATATTTGGTCCTTGCGAAATGAGACAATCGTTATATTCATCTTCATATATTTATATTTGATTTTAAATTTTAAGTAAACACAATTTTTATTTTCCTTCGTCCCATCCCTCTCCCCACCCTTTTCCCCTTTTTTTTTTTTTTTCCTTCCTATCCGAATTGTCTGTGGTGTGTATATGTCACCACGAAATGTATCTTTATGTATTAGACATCCGTCGACTTTCTTTCTCTCCTCTTTTAAATCAACCCCACCCACATCTCCAAAAATTCTCTCTGTCACTCATCCTCATACTTACACTTTCTAAATTCTGTTTTGATTTCCGGAGGGGTTTTTTTTTTTTTTTTTTCTGTTTTCATTTTGAATTTGTAGGTCTGATGATTTGGATCGTATTTACGATTCCAATGGAATAAATTATGACCATGGAATATTAGTGTTTAAGCCTTTTATTATATATATATATATATATATATATATATATATATATATATATATATATAAAGAGAGAAACCAAAACTTTTTTGCTTATAATGTAGATTTGTTTTAGTATATATATATATATATATATATATATATATATATATATATATGCCGTAAGGATGTTTTGCCTACCTACCATAATAATTTATTTATTTATCAATTTAAATGTCGATGCGGGGTCGACTATGGGCAAAAAATATCCAGAAATAGGTTAGAATCGCCCAACATGTCACGGGCTGCGTGCGCAAATTATGAGTTTATGACATCCGGGTGTTCGCAGACTCATGCCTCTGCTATCGGTGAACATCTATTAAATTCTGGTGTTTGTAGGACTGAGTATTCTCCTCATTTCTTTTCGGTATTGTACAGGGCTAGGAACAGACTCCACCTCGACATTTTGGAGTCTGTTATTATCAACATACGTAGGCCGGCCCTCTGCGTACAACGGGAGATGAAGTTTAAGTTGGCCTTATTTGTGGGGAACGGTTACATGATTTGAGGTAAAATAATTTTTTCCCTCTTACCATCCTGTTTTATTACGGTATTAATAAAAAAATTTTCTTGTTAGTACTCCGTTTTAGATTACCGACGATTGTGTTTGAAAATGTGTCGGTCGAAAGGTACCTTACATTTTACGTAGATATTGTTGTATCTTACGTTTAATATGATCCCATATTCTTTATTCCTCAAATGTAATATTATATTTTATTCTTCATATTTCTGCTACGCCTTCTTCAAGCAAATAAAAGGGATAAATTTTCCTCATTTTTTTAAATGTTTCATTGATCGTTTTCTGTATTTGTTAGTGAGCCTTGAACTCCTTTCTGGACTGTTGGCAAAAGTTAATTTCTGCCTAATTGTTAATAAACCATTAGGTTTAGTATGTGAGTTTGTGATGATAGATGCATTGATGAGAGATGTCTTCTTATCCTTGTGTGCGTGCGTGTTCCTGTTAGCCTGCATATGTATATTCCCTCCCCATATATACATACTGTCTTATAATAAAGACTCAGCATACACATATATGTATATGTATATACACATACATGCATAACCTCCACATATACACACTCTTCCTGCGCTCGTGTGTGTGCCCGTGAGTAGCCTGTTTTTGCCTGTGTATATATATATATATATATATATATATAGAAAAAGTTGCAAATTAAAAAAAATAATAATGTTTTTTATGAAAGTACGTGTACGTATGTGTGCGGTCCGGCCACTGTATCTGGCCATCATGTGGGCATGCTGTGTATCCATGTGTGGGGGGGTTATGATCTGTTCAGTGCTGGTTTAAATATGAAGTTTTTTTTTTCAATTTGTACTAAAGAGTAGCTCTCTGTTTGGTATATTGTCATAATTTTAAATTTGCCTTGATTGCATTTATAGATGCGTTGAGATACAAAGATTTTTCTGTTGTCGGGTACAAATCCACATTATAACCAAAAACGTTTACGGTTTCTCACTTTATATATATATATATATATATATATATATATATATATAAATTTTTAAAATATACAAAATGTTTAATATCTAAAAACCACAAAACTAATTGAGTTTTCTTTTTCCAAGGTTTTCAGATAAGATGTTTAGCCATCTTGACACCATTTGTCGTGAGAATCACTGAAAAACCCTTTGAGTTATTCAGCTAGAAAGACAACGGGTTAAAATTGTTTTGTGTCAACCCCACTATGTCTTCTCAATTGAGCAATGGTGAGAGGAAAAATCATTCAACCAACCTTCACCTTCTGATACTTTTATTTCATTTCTCTCAAGACGTTTTTCTTTTCTATTTTCTTTCTTTCTTTTTTTTCTTGCTTTAATGTTTATTTCTTTCTTTGTTCCCACATATCTACCTATCTATCTATCTATGAGAGGCATAAGATGGAAATCTATCTATCAAGCTAATAGTAATAGTGAGGTCGTTAAATGACAAAGTAGAAAAATTCCTTAGTGACACGTTTCGGCCTTCTTCAGAAAAATAATCGTTTATTATTCTGAGGAAATCCTTTTGAAGGAAGAAATGCGTAGCATAGAAGTTTTCCTCCAATTTTGTCATTCAGTTACTCATTATCTACCTAAAGCTTACAGCCATATCGCATTGAAACATCGGTTGTTGTAGGGTCACAGAAGATAAGCAACGTCGAGCCTGGTCAGTTTCTAAATGGGTGACCACTTGGGAATAACAGGTGCTGTAAGCATGTATGTTCGTGTGATGACCAGAGTCGAGTTCCAAATCCAGTCGGGTTCACATCCGCGTAAATATTCTTGGAAAAGTCATGAATCCACCTTTTCTTTCTCCCAGCTATGGGTTAATTAGGAAGACTTATCTGGAAACCATTATTATCTGCAAAGAGTTCTTACAATCTAAAGAATATTTCCTGGTTGAAAATAATCTGTACATTTCGGTTGGTTCTTTAATATCTATCTCAGTCAGTTCATATATATATATATGTGTGTGTGTGTGTGTTCATATATATATATATATATATATATATATATATATATATATATATATATATCCCCAAACACTGTCATTCCCTCCCTCTTATTCTAACATTAGATTGTCTATGGTGTGTGTATGTCACCACGAAATGTATCTTTATGCATTAGACATCCGTCAACATTCATTTTTTTCTCTTAATTAAACCCCTTCCACCCACATCTCCAAAAATTCTCTCTGTTAAGGTTTTATGTCAAAATCTCCTCATACTTACAATCTCTAAATTCTGTTTTTTATTTCCGGGTTGTTTTTTCAGTTTTCTTTTTTTAATTTGTAGGTCTGATGAATTGGATCGTATTTACGATTCCAATGGAATAAATTATGACCATGGAATATTAGTGTTTAATACTTTTTTATTATATATATATATATATATATATATATATATATATATATATATATATATATATATCAGTCTTTTCATAAACCATCTTGTATCTATCTATCCATGAATTCATGTCTATATCAGTTTGTTCAAATCTGATATCTATTTATTTATCTATCTATCTATTCATTTCT